GATAAAAATGCGAAATCATGAAAGAATAAATGCACATACTAAGTTCCTCTTTCATACATTGGGTTAATCTTTCAATAAGGTTATTTTCGTCTATCACCAAAGCCTTAACTGTCTATTAACTAGAGTGCATCACTATGGTCAATTGTCTGTCTTCACGAACTAAGTTCTGTGTTCTGTCTGGCACGTGTATAGCTTCTCTATATATAAAGATATACAAAAAATCTTGCCAGAATACTCAAGACAAGAATAGTCAAGAAAAAAAGACTTGATTCCTTAAAGAATTTATAAGACATAAGAATCCTTAAAGAATAATTTCAAGAACGTCGACTAGTGTTGTCGATGATGAGAAATTTGATAGGCATATGCGCGCGCATGTGCTACATATACATGAACATAGGCGAACTCTGGTTTTGGGTTAAAAGTAACATCTTGCTACATTTTTGTCCCATATTACAATTAATCATGATGAGCGTTGGAAAAAGTCAAAAGTGAATAATATAATTTCTTCTCGTTTCTTTGTAACTACGTGTAATATGTTGTTATTTACTTATTTGTTAGGGTGAAATAGTGTCATGTTCGGCATTTTACCTTTTGTCATATGAATCGTCTAATAAATGTGAAGACAAAAGTATGATTTTACATAAAAAGACTTCTATTTCTCTATCATTTGTCTTTAGCAAGTATGAATATAAGTATGTGTCATTATTAGTTATGGCAGTCAAAAAGTTCTGCCTCTTCCAAAGGGGTATCCTGTCTTCATAAATCTAGTTTCATAAATCACACATTTATGAAACTTTTTACAAGTTTCATAAAAATTTTAGCATAGCTCTCAGAGAAAAATTTTCTTAATTAATTAGCACATTTCTCCGAGAGACCTATGGTTGTTAATTAAATGGGTTTAATTAATGAATTAAGGTAACTGCAGATGTCTCTAAAAGGGTTGTTACAGTAGTATATTAGTATAAGTCTCATAGTGACATATATTGAACAGTAGGAATGACGCTCTTGGAGACTTATGTCTCTCTTAGAGACTTATACATAGCCCTGTTGGAATAAAAATACCGCTTCTTGTACGAGTAAACATATGTCTCTGAGAGATTCACATCTCACTTAGAGACTTGTATATACAGTTTTAGAATAAAATTCCATATTTTTATTTGAATCAGTCTATGTCTCTAGGTATACCTATCTTGATAAGATATTAGCATCTCTATTTAGTTGAGTCACTGTGTCTCTACGAGCCTCGCATAGCACCTAGAGACACATTGATACTGTTTTTAATTAAATAAATCATTATTTTCAATTAAAACACCACAAGCACACGTCTCTATGTGACCTATACCAATTATATAATGTTATATGTCTCTAGGTAACATATTAATACTACAATTAATTAAGGAACTAATTAATTAAACCTGCAACAGCATAAGTCACACATTTATGAAACTTGTTTCCAAGTTTCATAAAATTTAGCAAACTTGAATGTTGATTTTTTTAACCCACAAGTTACATAAAAATGAAAAATTTTATGAAACTTGTAAAAAGTTTCATAAAATTTTGATTTATGAAACTGGATTTATGAAGACAGGATAATCCCTTCCAAAAAGGACTTGGTCAGTTAAGATCTAAGAATTTCGTACATAGTCCGATATAATCTATAGAAGATTTAGACTCTGGTGAACAAGAACACCAAGGTCCTTTCCTTTCAGAAAAAATTGAGCTTTTCTCATCAACATGCCTATACAGGCAAAGGTTCAGTAAAACGGGTATAATTCGAAAAGTATAAAATATATTTGCAGTGGATTTAACGGCTGGTTTCAACATACTCTTTCAGCTTTTTTCAGCATACAAAATAGAAGCAGTTAGTGGTCTTCGTTCGGATGTGTTGCATTAAAAACGTTTGATTAAAGGAATTCGGTCTTTTTGCGAGCCTTTGCCTGTATAGGCAAATGAAAAAAAGTCAATTTTTTCTGAAAAGAGAAAATCTGATGATAGATTCGTGTCAGGCAGAGTCTAGGCTTTCAGACAATGATATCCAAGTATACAGGAGATTTAACCAATCGGGTTCTTTTTAAGTGACAGAACTTTTTGAGTGCCCTAAGTAACTTTTTGACTAGGCATGCACCAGTTATAACCGATTGAAATTGGGCACTTTTTTCGGAAAAATTTTTTTTCAACGAAAATTTATTCTCTAAAATTTTTCTAACCATTGAATTTTGTAGAGCACGCATTTTTAAAAAATATGAAGAAGGGATACAAACACAGACGGTAAAGCAAAAAAATAAGCGCTTCAGTGCGTTAAGCATCGATAAAGAGGCAATCAATAGAGAGAAGGAATAGAAAATATTACTTTTATTAGGGGACAATATTAAAAGAGCAAAATGTCTGCAAGAGCAGGGATAAAAAAATGTAAGCAGATTTATTTTACAATAAGAAATAAATGTCGTCAAAAATCAGTAAATTTTGCTAGAACGAAAGAAACCATATGCAAGTAATGATACTTACACAATACAAATAACCTATTATAAGAACTAATTAGAAATGTTTTTAGATCCCTGAGAAAACATAGTTTTCTGGAAAGCTTTTAGAGTTATGTTAGATTATAAACTTTTCTCATAAAATCTGCCCTTATGCCAGTATAAGTTGCCAAATACCGGAGACCGCGCAAGTGACATACGGGCGTTACCTTGTTGATTCGTAGCAAACAAACCCGGTTACTCGACTGGCTTAAAACCGCCATTATCGCCTGCTCGAGAGCACAACAGTCACTATAGTTATCGAAGAAACAATGCAGCTAACGCACTTTTATCTATCGACTTTTGTTCTGTTAGAAATATATTGAGTAGCAATAGTATGCCTCAGTGTCTAACCAGGATCTCGTAGCATTTTCAATGCCTTAAATATGACTATGTGATTTATCCATGGCTGATGGGTGATTAAGGATCTTGACTGTAGCTAATGCATTGTGCATTTTTGATATATTAGTGATGTCTATCAAATTCGCCTAAGCTATTTTTGTCCAAAAAAGCAGCGACTTAGAGGTGTTTTTCGAAGACATTAAGACGACTAACAGTAAAAAGATGAGAAAATGCACCTAACGTGCCTTCAAAACGCACTGTGGAAGCATTTATAAGCTAGCCGAGTGATTTATTAAGACACTTTTTTTGATAGTATAGTCGGGCCAGAAATTGACGCAAATAAAAGTAAAATAAGAACAGGACGCATACGTGTATGGAAATATCTCGATAAAACTCATTTCTAACTGTACTCGACAAATGTCATCGATTATTTTACTTCTCAACATCAAACATCCATCGAATTCAATGATTTTGATCAATAAGTTGCTCTTCCATAATTTTACGTAGAGCACAGTGTCCCGTTGTCATTTGTACTTAATAATGCTTTAAATTTTGTATTTATTAGAGATATTTCAACACTCAAGAGTCGCCTGTACAAAATTTGAACACATCCGCTCATTGATTTCACGAAAAAAACAGCAAATAGAATACACATCGTTCCAAGACAGTAGATACTAATTTGAACACAATGAACAGCAGCAAAACGTAAAAAAGTATGCCAGTATCTGGAACAAAACGTTGCTCAATTTACGTAGCATTGATTAGGATATATTGATCGTATAATCACAAATTAAGTGTAAATAAAAAAATGTTCACTAGTTAATCCTTAATTTACGAACTGTATTAAATAGGTGATTTTTGTTCAAAAGTTTTTAATATTAGTTGAATGTTACAAGTTTTTACAGTAGACATATGACAAGAAATACCTACCATGATTTAAAAACGTTAACATGAGCAAAAACATTTACAAATACAAGAAATTCCATGCTCGTGGAAAAAAGTAGTTGCACACAGTATTTTTAAGATATTTTTCTTACGAAAACATACTTTTACAAAAGTGCCCCCATATTCTGATAGCGCTTGGAATTCTCTACAATTCTGTATATTTATATCTTGTATTGCATTTATTTGCTGAAAAACAAATTGAGTGCAATGATGGCCCCCACATTGTCAGATTCCCACGGACTGCATTTTGTTACTATTTCTTCAACTTGCTTTTTCAATTTATCATTACCATAGAAATTGCTTTTTATAAAAGTAATTATATATTCTGATAGCGCCTAAAATTCTCTATCATCCTATATATTTATGTCTTGTCTTACATTTATTTGCTGAAAAATAATTTGAGTACAGCGAAGGTACCCCCAATTGACAAGTACCAAAAAGGTGCATTTTTTCGCTACTTTTTTAGTTTTTTTCACACCATCTGTTCTAAAAGATTTTTTTACAGACCACGAGATAGAGCACATTCAGAAGTACAAAAAGAACTGACTTCTCACTTTGCAATCCTTTTTTTACGGAAATAGTAGCAAAAGAAAACGGTTCAGGTGGAAAAAAATAACAGATTTTCAAAGTTTTCATTTTTTTCGTCTTTCGTATAATCTGCGTAGTTTTCTTGATTGAAGCTCTAAAATTAAAGGTTAGGTATGATTTTGTAGAGCATTTCGCGGCTCATCTTTTTAAAAAAACATTAACCTTTGGGTCCTAAAGAAACACGAGAAAAATAGAAAATATTAATATGCCACACTTATTACAATTTCTGGGAATCTGACGATGAGGGGGCCGTCATTGCACTCAATGTATTTTTCAACAAATAAATACAAATAAATATGTGATCATTTTTGTCAAAGTATATTTTCATAAGGAAAATATCTTAAAAATATTGTGTGCAACTATTTTTTTCATATAGGTCGAATTATGATTATTTTTTACGTAATGGGAAAAAACACCGGAAGCATGAATCAGTGAACAATAATTTTTTATGATATTTGTTTGGAACTTTCCTTGAAAATTTAAACATGAAGCATCATTATAAATACATAGCGTCTTTTAATTCACTCGACAACAACTAAGTTTTCAACGAAACATGGCTCAGTTAGATTTAGCAACAATTGTCGATTGTCAGACAATCTGGCTTGATCAATACATCGGTGAATCTGGGAACAACGAAGATATCAAGAATAAATTTAGATTAATCATGAGTACGCTAATTACATTTACCAATGTTGAGGAATGTTTGCAATTTATTCGGTCAAATAACCAGAAAAAACTATTCATTATTACATCAGGAACGCTAGGACGTCAAATTGTACCAATTATTAACGATTTACCACAATTAAATTCAGTTTACATTTATTGTAGTGATGTAGCAAGAAATACCAGCTGGGCGATTAAATATCCAAAAATAAAAGATATATGTGATGCTGAAGATGAACTATTAAATCGTTTTACTAATGACATAGCTCAGTATATAATGACTCAAGGTGACCATTATACGAAAATATATGACACTGTTAAAGCAAAATTTTGTTATTCTTATGCAAACGAATTATTTACACGTGTTCGAAGTTAATAGTGAGTTCTAACATACGTAGTTTATGTAATTGTCATAGACAGTATTTCATAAAAACGACTGTTGATTACACTCTGTCTATACCACATTTTTCTCTTCTACTTCTGCGTGTGACACGTATTGCTTTTTCCCACTGCTTTCCCCCACAAATATCCCGATGCAGGGAATTTTCAAACTTTGTGCCAAAAACATACGATTATTTTGACACAAATTTCGCAAATTCCTCGCAATGGGATGTGTATATCTATTTTATACCTAATTTACTTTTCAGTTGTTTTAAAAAATAAAAACAATATTTCCCATTTACGGCATAGTTTTCTTAACAAAATCGGCTTCCCACAAACTTATTTTCGTCTTGAGGATCATTAGAACTATCCAAGCATACCAGAATTAGTTAATCGCTTATAAGAAGTTAAAAAACCACATAATTCGGGTATGAATCCAACAAGAAATTCTATTTCTCTTGAGATCCATTAACACTTGACATACCTGATGCGTTTGTCTGGAAAAAAGACTGAAAACCGCTTTATTGGAGAACCTGCTAAAAAATACGAAGCGATTAAGAATTTTTCTAACAAGAACACTAGAAAGTCCTATCGTTTTGCTACGTTCCCTAGTGAATGTACTTGCATGCAGGTACTTGATCAAGCACCCTCGCAAGTTTTGTCCAACATTCTTGCGCTTTTTTGTAAGTAAAGAAAGTACTTGCCAAGAAAAGCAAGTACTTGAATTACTTTATCTTCTTGTCATGTCATTTGTCAAGCATTTGCCCAGGTAACCCCCAAGTACTTGTGGAAGGTTCGACAAGTAAATTAAGTACCCTAGGCATTTGTCGAGTAGTTTTTTTTAAAAATACTTGTCAAATGCTTTTGAAGTATCCATGGAAGTTTGTAAGTAAATAAGTACCCAGTCGCAAGTACATTCACTAGGGTTATCCTTAAGAAAGTTGGGATTCACATTCACTTTTTACGAGAAAATTTGCTGATTAAGGTTCCCGTATACGAGAAAAATTGTAATTGCTGACGAAGGGCTTCGTCTCATGTTGATATTTCTGAGCGATCTCAATACGAGATTTGTGAATCCGATCGATGGGTCTCCCATTTAAATAGTGTTTTTACCCGACAAAAACCGATGTAAGTGTGGTACGAACTTACGGAATTCTTCCATTCTCGGTTAATTTATTCTGCAGTTTTGATCCTGCAAAAACCTATTGATTATTATCTTCAAATCTGTGGCATTGGATATGCATATGTTCGCACATGTATCACGTTTAGTGCAATTCACTCATCTTCTTTGTCTATTAAAAAGATTTCTGAAAGCCTTAATAAGTAGGATTTTTAAAAAGCTCAGTGAGTTTTTTCAAGAAGGATTCGCTAAGTTTATTAACATATCATAAAGGGTTTAGAACTACCTCTACTCTTCAAAATGAGGTATGGATCACTTCTAGATGATTTTCAATTCAGGATGAATAAACGTTTTAGTAAAACTTCCAAAAATGCTCCAATTTTTCTCTAGTGGAATATTTCTTCAACAGTTGTACCGGTGATACTGCACTGTACACTGCAATAAGCTTTCGTTTTAAAACACTACGACAGATTCCAAAAATGCATGAAGATAAAATTCACATGAAATGCTTAAGGATATGTGCTTGTCTCTTTTGATCTTCGTACGAAGATCTTGGTTATCCTCAACTCTAACTGTGTACTATTTGTGATCTTGAGATCATAATCCATATTGTTCAATTGAATTACGTTAAAAAATCTGTTCAAACTTATAAACAATGAGAGCAGAAGGTTCTTCATCCATCACCCAGATCCTCATCTTAAGTCGAAAAAATTCTTCGGGGAATAAATCTTTAGCAGCACAAAATGAAGCAAACAAATTTATAAAATTTATTTCTAACTTCAATAAAACTGCAGATTTTCTGCAAGAAAAAGGTAGTTGTATGTAATATAAAGTACAAATCTTGGGCAAGAAGAATAAAGAACAGTATTGAATAAACTGTTCGCATCAGTATCAGCTACCTCAGCACAAGACACTACCCTCGTTTTCTGGAAGATCTTTGAAAAATCGCGTTGTTTACCAAACGTTTTTTTAGAACTATTACTTTGAGAGAGACTCTGTTGCACGTTTTTTCATATTATCAACAGCAATGTCAATGAGGACTTTGGCGGTATCTGGTTTGTATGTGTGTGCTGATTCGTTCCATAAAATTCTCACATCGTCTGTACATAATGATATTGTACTTGAACATGTTCTATCCCGACACCGCCATTGAGCATTTGTTTTGTTTGCTCGTTTTTTGGTATATTGATATCCATTGTGATTTTCAAAACTGGTTTGTCTTTTTCAGTAGACGTGAAAATTAACATTTTGTTATAAACAAATTTATGACAGTGGTGGCTAACACAGCACATTTTGTCACGTACGCGCACCTAGTATTGTCTGCAATAGCCACCGTAACTGTTCGATAGTACAACACTTTAGTTATTTTGAGGCGTGAACATAGATATCTGGGACGAATTAGTTCGGACGAACTGAGAAAAAAAGCTTCATGAGACGAATTGAGAAGTCAATTTGGGACTAACTGAGAGGACACCACCATTACCCAGGTCGACTTGACTGTAGCAATTATACTCTCTCAACTTTATTAGATTAACGGTATTTGGTATATCTATGTACCGTGTCACAAAAATAATTTTTCGCACAGTGATTTTCATTTAATTCATACATAGCATATTTTTATTCTGGGTATCTTAAAAAAGAACGAGTGGATATGTTTCTTTATCGAACAAATTATATTATTATTATTATAAGAAACACGCTGAATTTTAAATAATGAATTTAGATCGAACAATACCTCTGCTTCTTCGTAATATTTACTTAGTCGACTAATATCATCGCATATTATCAGTCAAGATCAACATCAATTTCAATGACTGCTGTTACAACGTTTTCTCGATATGCTGATTTCAAAGCAAACTGTGTTGCTTCCGTTTTCCATCACCTGACTGACAAAACTCTATTTGTAGATATCAGACTATTTACATACTTCTCTCATGTTTGAATTTCATCAATATTCAACTTGATTTCTCGATAAAGTTTAATAACCGGTTGATCTAGAGTGAGTTGTTGACCTTTTAATCTTAAATTTTCATCGACTAATTATGAGATAAAAGCTAAATGTAGTAGAGAGTGTCAACGTCTTTTGTACGTCGTACTTTGTAAATAAGTTTATATATCGAGGAAAAGGAAGGGATGAGATGTTTAACACGGATGATAAAATCCAGATATGTATGTTACAGTAGAAATTAAAATTTCAATTTTCACTGAATTCTTGTCAATAGAAATTGAAAGGCGACTATGATGTTTTGACAACAAAACGGGATATATGTAGGTTTGTAGAGGAAGATTTCCGCTATCTAGTGGTGTATATATTATCAAATTCTGTTGCGTACCGTTAGAGAAAATTAAAGGTAACCCCTCTTTTTTTAGATTCTTTTAGAATTTTTTTTTATTTTTGAGTTAAATGTTCTGCATTATAGAGTAAAGTGTCCTCTACAAAGTAAGACCGCTTTCAGCTTTCCAAGACCTTCCGTTGAGGAGATACAAATTTTTTAAAGTTTGTTACTTTACGCTGAAAAAAACCTACTTTTTTACTTGCGAAGCGTTTTTCTCTACCATTCAGTAGTTGATAAACTTTTGAAACAGTCAGGCTTATAAAGTAGTTATGATCATTTTGGACGGTATCTCACAAATGTGACTTTTTCAAAGACTTCCAACAAAATGATCATAACTCTATCAGAAAACATGGTGAAAAGTTAGGATACATCTAATTTTGTGGGGAAATCTT